ACGAGACCATTTTGCAGGGCCCGCCAAGGGGTTTTGGGTATTCGGGTATCTGGGGGCATTTCGGCGCCACAATATGGATATTTAGTATCTTGTTTTTCTAAATTTTTGGTATTTGGCATTTAGGCACGAGGGTTTAACGAATTTTTTTTGATACATGAATGATTGAAATACGTAGACATATTAAATTCCGCAAGCAGAATACTGCAATGCTGATCGTACTACGTGAAATATGTTCCACAGAAGTTTGCCAGGGGTTGGGAATGGAAAGGAATGGACAAAGGCCACCGACTGTAGTGCACCAAAACTTATGCATTCTTTGTCTGGGGGTATTAATTATCTCTCAGCAGGCTGTCCAACCATCCCTATTTCGTCGAGATTGCCCCGATTTTGCTTTCAAATCTCCAATCCTGACCAATGTGCAATTCTTATAACACTTATACCAGAACACAAGATAGAGTATATAAACAACTGAAACCGATATTCCAAAAACTAAAGAAGCTGCTACAAATATAACATATTAAAATCGAGTAGCTGTACGCCAAGCTACGCATAGCGACAAAGCAACGAAGGGGTTTGTAGCATATAGCTATGTCAGCCATCTTGATGTTCCTCTCTGAATGCTTGGTCATTCTCATCGCGTACACAAGGTACCGTGCCTCCAGTTCGAGTGGCTTTCAGTGAGTCAAAATATCGAAAAACATCTATCGTTTTAGTTAAGTTAGGAAATCAGATGAGTCATCTGAGCCCAAGGGAAAGAAGTTCGACCGTCAATTTCAATTTGCATTAATTCCCAAAAACTCCCAATATTCACAGTCCCTTTCTGGACTTCAACATTTCAAAATTGTCTAGCGGAGCATGCCCCTCCCTAGCCGTTCGCGCCTTCGACGCTCGCGTCATTAGTCTCGCATTAAAGGCAATTTCGGGTATTCGGTATCAATGATTTTGCAATTTGTAGGCATATTGGTATCTTATGGGGAAAAAACGGGTATATTGGTATCCCACTAGACATCTGAAATTAAATTTGTTAAATCTTTTTTCTAATTTTACCGTGTTAAAAGGGGGCATAGTAAAGTCTGAGTTCCTCAATATATATCGCCTGTTTTCTACCTCCTGAGTTATAAAAAGGTCTTGTAGATACTTCGGCGATAGTTTGTTTTTAGCTTTGAACATCGATATTGCTATGTCCTGGAGCCTTCTATTGTTAAGTGTCGTAAGATTGGCCTGTTTCAGTAAATTCTTATAAAAGTCCAGTTTGCTATTGAATACTATTCTTAAAGCTCTCTCTTGTAATCGTTCCGACTTTGTGCCTGTCAGAGACTCTGCAAAAAAATGCCAGGCTGTACCACAATATGTTAGATGTGGTAAGATGGCCGCTTTGAATAATAGCAATTTGGCATGGGACGGTAAAGGGTTTTGAAATTGAAAAATTGACATTGAAATTTGAAATTGGATTGAAAAATATAACACATCAAGTATCTCTGAATTTACGCTGTTGGAATATTTGAACATTGGGTGCATTTACAAAAGTTAAACTGCCGTGTAAAACGCGTGTGCAAAGCTTGTTGCCATATTGTTTGCAGTCATTACGCTGGTTTTGATGAACGGAAATACAGAAGCTACAGATAACTGCAATCGGCGACAAAATTGTTGAGACATTGTACTTAAATAGGGTAGTTTCGGAGAACAAAGGAATCCGCACCCCTCCCCTGTCCCCTCCATTCAAAGTTGGCGTGTTTGTTGTTTTCTATAGGCAGCTAGAACAAGGGCACAACATTGCACGGAGGGGATGGGGAAGGAAAGCTATATTTCCTCCTTTTGAAGTTAATAAAACGTAAAAAAACCCAGTTTTGGACGAAGTGTCTCAACTCATTTTATCGCCGATTGTGGATTACCGTGATGGATACGTTTGTAACCTTTTTTATCCTTTTTTTACCATTTTTGGATTTCTTGTATTTTGATTGGGAGTCGATCTATCATGGTAGTCGGATGCCACCTGGTTATTACCTCGAAATTCATAGTGAACGCGACATCGATTCCACTGTTAATATGACTGCAGAAGATACCTGAATTTTTTAAAACCGGGTTAGCAAAAAAATCAATCCATTCCACTACTTGGCAATTTAAAACAATGAAAAATCATTCAAAGAACGATTAAAAGCCTTTGTTCTGACGCCGGGCAGTAATTTAGGGGTCCTTAGTAGCATTCCACTGAGTCAAAATTTAAAATGACGCAAATTATAGAACATATTTTTACTCAGTAATCTAACCCCGTGGAGTTTCAAACCGATGTTATTTCATTGTCATTTCAGTCTAGAATTTTTTGAATAATTAAAAATGCAATCAAAAAGTGTCTGGTTTAGGCTTACAGAACTACTGAAAACAAACAAATTATCGATCACCTTCTGATCTGCAAAAATCGGCCTATGGTTTAAAACCAAGCGCTCGCTGAAACTAGACCTAGATCCAGTTTTCCTGAATGGAAAATTTATTTTCTAAGGCACAGTCACCTAAGCTACAACCGACCAAGGGTTTTTATGCCTCGTACATAATATTTTAGTGCAGCAGCTCAACCACGCGACCACATACCTAACTTCTGCCTGTCGACACCATTCGGCATCTCTCTATAATGCGAAGAGAAAGAGGATGGTTATACCTAGAAAAGTGCTTTATTTGTACCCAATGAGCTTGCAGACAACGGAAGATGCATCCCCTTCACTTTCATATGTGAGTTTCCCCTCCCCACCCATGCACCGGGACTATGACGGCATGGGAGACTGTGTAGAGGCCATTTCTTAGTTATAGGCAGGTATTCTAATCGTAGATCGCTTCTGACATCTTAATGTTGTAATGAATGTTCAATGCCGGCGTTCATATCTCCTAAAAAATGACCGTTGAGTCGGTTCTTGATTCGTGGTCCTTAAGGGATTATGATTTTGGAGGTTTCTTCGGCCGGTTTTTGTGTTTTCCTTCTCCAAAATCTCAGCAAAGAAATTGTTTAGATCATTTTCATCGAAGTTATCGGCACTTTGTTGAAAGGCTAGCACTTGGAACGTAAACTTCTTAATAACTTTACCGTGGAAACCAACCCTATAAACTCAGTTGATTAAACGGAGTCTATTATTTTATCAGGGTTCGCCTCCTGAGGTTATTCCATGTTTACCGTTCACTTTCATCTAAGGAACACCCTGGCCATATGATATATAGATATAGCCGGGGCTTAAAGCGAAGCTCCCGATAATATTTATAGTTTGCTCAAACAAAATATAAAATCGTGTAATGCTAAGCGGCGAAGGCAACGAGATTAGCAATAAAGCAACTTTGCACGTGCAGCTGACACTTTATATATATAAATTCGTTTTTTGAGTAGAACGTATTTCGTAGAGCGCTCGACTCAATTGATTGAGGAGCATCAGAGTCGTCAAAATTGCCTGATGAGTGTGGTCCTTGCACCATACGAAACAGTTCTGTAGCAATAAAACGATGATTACTTGGGAAACCTGAACTTCTGTGAAGTTATATATATATATCTTTGCCGTTGTTTTGTAGGACTACAACGTGCAATTTCCAGAAACTTCCTAGTGACACGCTTTATGAAGGAAATGCCGTACTTGTTCTTTTTCACTTTTTTTTCCTTTTTTCACTGCCGCTCATTTTCACCCTGGTGGCCGCTAGCACTTCTCATTTTCCCACCGCCGCTACAAGTTTTTTTTCGTCCTTCCAACAAAGAATGCCTCCTTTATTTTTATCTCTCACTCTAGCTGGCTATCGCCAGGCCTGTGTCGCTACTTTTATCGTTGAGCTTCGCTGGCCTGTCGCCTACTCTCTCTTTTTTCTGTCTTTCTCTTTCTCTATATTCCAAATTTGTGGACATGACAATTAATCTAGCTTAATACTTTAGACCACACGGAAACAGAAACAATTTTCGCTTTCCGTTTTCGTCTTTATTGACTTTTTAGTTGTCCCTGCTTCACAAGACGCGGGTGGCTATGTGATTTCCCGCTAAAATGACCTTAAATTTCATTTGGGTTGCCATACCTGCTGATTGAGTTATCTCACATTGGTATGTCTGTGATGTAGACGGACGGACGGACGGACGGACGGTCGAGCGTACGGTCACGTGGTTACCAAAATTTGTCGGATGGATAGATTACCACATTTTCTTAGGTATGGGGCTACGCTCGCGCGCGCTTCGCGTGTGCGTGGAGCTCCACTATGAACTAGACATCTCAGTAATGCGAGCCTTATGCGCCTACTGGTGCGATCAGACATGGCGATGATGATGATGATGATGAATACGAGCCATAAGAACTGGTCCCTACTGTTCTTCAGTCTTTCTTTTAGTCACTTTTGGAAGCCCACGATCTTCAAGATGAAATTGATAAGTGCTGTTTTAGGGAGCGAGTCGACTGTAAACAGAAGTGAGAACGGAAAACAACCCTTTCCTACTCAGTCTGAGCCTAATCTAACAGCACCCCATGGAGAGAGTGATGTAGAGTACCTGACTGTATACTGGCTACCGACAGAGAGTTTGTCTTTTTACCCTGTCCAATGCTTTTCAGTCCTGGTCGACTTAGGCAAAATTTAGAGCCTCGTCGTTTTCAGTTATATTTTCACTGAGCTTTGATTGGTCACGAGGGCGGAAGTATTTAAAAACTGCACAGTCCGCTGAATGTAAGTTTGATTTTTTGAAGGCTCATTTGGCGGCAAGCGAGAAAAACAAATTTTCCAGCAGAATTCATAAAGTTTTTAGCTAAGGTGAATAGAACAGCAATTACAATAAACATGATTAAAGAGAGTCCACGAAGCTTAAGATGATTTAAGTCGATCAGAAACTAGGTAATTTATCATCGTTACTTATGCCCAGATATAACCTCGTGCGTACCTCGGTCCTTAACTCGTTTCCTCTGTTTTGATTTAATTTATGGCTCGCTTTTGGCAAAGTCCGAAGCTTACAATACGAACCTCGAACTAGGTTAGTAAGATATATTCTTCTTTTTACAGAATGTCAGCCCGTAGGGGTGGCAAACCCTAACAGAATTCTAAATAATCAAATGACGGCTAGCAGCTACCATGGTTCAAGCTATTATCCATACTACGGTCGACTTAATGAAAAACGAGGCGCAGGAGCATGGTGCCCAAAGACTCCTTGGATTCCCAGAACAGATTATCTTCAAGTTGACCTGGGTACTGAACATTTTGTTTGTGCAGTAGCAACACAAGGATCATCACGCTATAATGAGTGGCTAACAAGCTACATTTTGCTAATGTCTAAAGATCAAGTAACTTGGGGCACCTACAAAGAAAACAATACCGAGAAGGTGAGATGATAGAATAGCCACGAAATACAATACAGTGGAAACTTTCTACAATGGCCCCCTTATTGGGTGGCCGTTACGGAGTAGTAGGAGTATTAAATGTGCTCGTTTGAGTTTTTCTAGGGCAGATTAAAATGTTTACTATAAATACGCAACACAATGAAATGTGTCAATAAAACAGAACCAAATGAAGTACAATCCGTTTGTACATCATTTTCTTTTAAACGTTTAGGGTAAGTTATCTTCAATTGCCAGTCTGGGATGCGTCCTTGTAGGGGCTGCTGTCGTTGAGGAGAGGAGGCTGTTGCTGCAGAGAGAGGATAAAACGAAAGTAAATGTAGGGAATGTCCATCGCTGGGGACAGAAAAGTCCTCAGGTAAAATAAGGAGTGTGTCACGCATTATTCTGTTAAATAAATGAAGGGGGTGCTCTATCTCCGAAAGAAAGACAACGAACGATTAACATTAAAGTTGGCTGAGACTTTTAACTGGTTGAGTAAGCTTTATTCACAATACTCTTTCTATAATATATAGATTTAGCCACGGCTAAAAGCGAAGCTCCCATTGAAAAGTTAAGTGAATTTGGAGTGAAACAAATCTTGTATCGAGTTGATATAGCCTTATATGTACACCCAAAAAGGTGTACGGTCAAATTTAAGAGCAATAATGGCTCTTGATCACAGTAGATAAGGCGTGGAAAACAAATCAGGCCGACTTTTTTGCGATCGACAAGTTTACAAATTCTTGGCAATAAATCTGGGTGCGTGCAAACCAATGTTTTATTTTTTCTTAATACATCACATCTGAGGAGAAAGAGTACTATTAGGCGCTGTTTTTATCATACAGACCTCGTACAAAATGCAGTATTTCACAATTTTTCAAGACAAATACACCGTATTCACAAATGGCGGACACGCGGGAAAAAACTGGTGCCTAGTCATGAAAGCGAGGCGTTGGAGGATAAACAAAAATTGCAAATGAAGACTTTCAGTGAACTTGCAGAGTGTTTAGCATGGATTTCACCTAAAATAACTTTGTATGGACCTCTTTTTAAATACAGTTACGTTGGACGTCTTCTGCTTTTAATGTTTAGTATTGATTTGCTGTTTGCAATCAAAAGGGACGCGTATATCTTCAAGGAAACAGGATGATTTTGTAGGTTTCCGAAGCCTCAGAAGCTCGACAAGTGGGCGATGGCTGGAGAAAAGCGGCAAACATGTTGGCCTAAACCTCACACTGAACCCGAATATTAAAGCCATCTCCCTGCAATTCGGTAAAACAGAAATAAAAAGAGATATTGGTGGCAAGAAAAAAAGAAATAAGCGACGGATATATGGCCTACTTGTCAACGGAAGAGACCTCCGCCATTACTCAAAACAGGTCAAGGCAAGAGCGGGTGAAAGATTTATTCACGAGACTCATTCATTCATGTCAGTGTCATTTTATACATATCTATGTATGTCTGTATTTACAACTTCCTTTGGATGATATTAATTCCGTCGCTTTGGAGTGAATTGTTAGAGGTACGTTGGTAGAGCTTAGCAAAAATCTTTTGATTTCTTTATCATTGCGGAATAAAATAATTTTATCAAAATTAGAAGCTGTAGTGTGTGAATCTTATGGCTTGCTATTTGTCTGGTCTCCTTTAGGGCATTATCTCGGAGAGCTCTTGGTAAAAAAGTGATATAAAGCTTACATTTTACTAGGTTAAACGTTTCAGGCAATGTTTGTGTCAGGACTGAACACGGCAAGCTTCTGTTTCGAATCATTAAATTCGAGTCTGGATCCGTTTAAAAAGACCGTCATTTTATTTATTTATGTATTCTTCACTTTTAAAATATTATGGAACATAAAGTTAAAACTCTTAACAGCCAAAGATAAGAAATACGAAAATTACTCGCTGAAATAATATGTGGCCGGCTTACCGAGTCTGCCGAGTAACATGTTGAAATTTTGAGCGTACTCCACTCGACCGCTCCTGCATTTTTAATTTATACTAAAAAAATAGATCTAATTGATGTCCTTCATCGATAAAGACCAGAGAATAACGTCCTGGCAAACCAAAACCAAGCATAACTGCATCGAAACCTCAGTCAGCACTTCTTTCCTTTCTTCCTTTTTTCCATCTCCACTTGAACTGTTTTGTTTAATAGCAGACGTCTCTTGCGTTAACAAGTAGGCCATATATCCGTCGCTTATTTCTTTCTTTTGTTGCCACCAAGATTTGCATTGTTTATATTTGTGTTTTCCCGAATTGCAGGGAGCTGGCTTTCGTATTCGGGTTCAGTGTGAAGTGTGGGCCAACATGTTTGCCGTTTTTCTCCAGCCATCGCCCACTTGTCGAGCTTCTGAGGCTTCGGAAACCTACAAAATCATCCTGTTTCCTTGAAGATATACGCGTCCCTTTTGATTGCAAACAGCAAATCAATACTAAACATTAAAAGCAGAAGACGTCTCACGTAATTGTATCGAAAAAGAAGTCCATACAAAGTTATTTTAGGTGGAATCCGTGCTAAACACTCTGCAAGTTCACTGAAAGTCTTCATTTGCAATTTTTGTTTATCCTCCAACGCCTCGCTTTCATGACTAGGCACCAGTTTTTTCCCGCGTGTCCGCCATTTGTGAATACGGCGTATTGCATTCATTCAATATTCAGGATTATCGAAGCACGCGTGGACTTTTAATTAGTGAAACCGTTCAAAAAATTTGCAAAATCACCTATACGGCCAGCCGGTTCTAACTTTTGACAAGCGCCAAATTTGCGAAGAAATTTTAAAAGAGTTACGCTTCAACGTGATAAAGAATTTATTGAGTCTACTTTTTATTCATGGTTTTATAACGATGTGTAAAAAAGCGTTTGATACGCTCGGCATTTTGAGTACTCCTGCACGTGATGTTTATGAACGGCTGAAAACAAACGGCAAAGCGATGAAAATTACACTTTTGAGACTACCAACAATCAATAAAGAAATATAATTCAATCGGAACATTTACAGAGACAACAATTTTCATTCACGAAAACAAATGAGTATTTAAGTGTTTCTAAGAATCCTCAAGTCTTTACTAGTAAGCTTAAAGATTAAGTTTATGTTTTAAGCCGCCGGTTTCCCAGACCTGTTTGCTGTTTTCAAACATGAACTCAGGACAAGAAAATCGCTCAAAGCTTTCTTTCTACTGCCAAAATTATAACTAAATATTCTTCGCGAAGTCTTTTCTTTCTATTTACGGTGAATTAATATCGACTAAAGGCTTTTTAAAGTTCTGTAAGCTTAAGCTTATATCAGTCAAATCTTAATACAAACGTGCATAAACTAGCTTCATAAACTGCGCCGCTGGACTTCATGAAATTAGATATAAATACAATAATTACTCAGGCTTACCATATTTCGAGATGCAGCTCCTGAAAGCTATCAAGTAAGGCAAGGATCGCTTGAGCCTTTATAATTCTCGCACGCATCCAGCAAGGTGAAAAACAAAAACGATGCCATCCGAAATGGGATTATCGGCTTTGACAAGCGACACATTTCCCAACCAAAAGCCCAATTAACAAACCAGCCATGAATAAGAGAACACTCTTGATAGCGGCTGTATTTCATTTTGTACAACCAGTGGAAAAAGACAGTTAAAAACAGCACAAGTTGACTCAAAACTCTGTCAGCTTCAGCTGTCAAAGTAAACAACTTTCAAGACGCTACATAAATTTTACGCATGAACTCACCTGTCAAATTTTAACCAATCAGAGCATAAACATTAAACGTGGAGCGTGACCAACACGTGACCATGGTAAGAAAAGGTCTTCCCCGCCTGTATTTTAAAAAAACTGGCTGAATTTTTGCGTCTGAGGTCAGTTTGAAATCAAAATCGTAATAGTGCGGGGCGATACTGACATAAACACAACATATTTGATATGAATTTAAAAACAAGTAAACGTGAGCCTGCAATCATTTGAAAAGGAATAAATTGTCAGCGGATAACTTCAAAAAATACTCGACCTCGATGGGTCGACACCTGAGCCCGCGATAGGGTCAGATGATACTGGTCAGCGGATACCCTGTTTCGACAGCTGTCAATTGATAGCGGAGCTCCACGCGCGCGAAGCGCGCGCGTGGACGGAGCCCCATAGCTAAGGAAATGTGGTAATCTACCCACCCGAGAAAATTTGGTAATCACGTGACCTTACGACCGTCCGTCCGCACCACAGGCACACCAATGTTTACTCCCACACTTTCTAGCTAGTTTGGGAGCCCAATAGAAAACTAATTGCACATCAGTGTTGTGATCAATTGACAGCTGTCAAAACAGGATATCCGTTGACCAGTATCACCTGACCGTACCGCGGGCTCAAGTGACGACCCATCGAGGTCGAGTACTTTTTTGACGTTATCCGCTGACAAATTACCAGTTTCAAATGATCGCAGGCTCAAGTCTATTTTTTTCAATGATTCATATGAAATATGTTGTGTTTATGTCACTATGGCCCCGCACTGTCAAGATTTTGATTTCAAACTCACCTCGGACACGAAAATTCAGCCACTTTTTGAAAAATAAAGGCGGGGAAGACCTTTTCTTACCATGGTCACGCGTTGGCCACGCCCTACGTCCAATTTTTGTACTCTGATTGGTCAAAATTTGACAGGTGAGTTCATGCAGAAAAAAAATGCAGCATCTTGAAAGTTGTTTACTTTGACAGCTAAAGCTGACAGAAATTTGTGTCAACTTGTGATGTTTTTATTTGTCTTTTTCCACTGGATGTACAAAATGAAATACAGCTGCTATCAAGAGTCTTCTGTTATCCATGACTGGTTTGTTTATTGGTTTTTGGTTGGGAAATGCGTCGCTTGTCAAAATTGGGTAATCCGTTTTCGGATGGCATCGTTTCCGTCTTTCACCTTGCTCAATGCGTAAGAGGGTTTAAAAGTCTCAAGCAACTATGGCCTTCCTTGATATCCTTTAGGAACTGAATCTCGAATGGTAAGCCTGAGTAATTATTGTATTTGATGTTTGTTTTTGTTATATCTAATTTCATGAAGTCGAGCACAGTTTATGCGGCAAGTTTTTGCACGTTTGTTAAGATTTGAGTCAATGATCTGATCTAGTATCAGGTTTTATATAAGCTTACAGAACTATAAAAGGCCTTCAGATATATTTTCTCACGGCAAATAGAAAAAAAAAACGTTCCGAAGAATATTTAGTTATCAATTTGGCTGTAGAAAGAAAACTTTGAGTGATTTTCTTGCTTCGAGGAGTTCATTTTTGAAAAAAAAAAACAAACACAGGCAGGCCGGCTGAAGGTAAAACAAAATAAATTTAAGCTTAAGCTTTAAGCTTTAAGCTTAAAGACTCAGGATTTTTAGAGACACTTTAATACTTGTCTTCGTGAATGAAAATTGTTGTCTCTGTAAATGTTTTACCGAATTATATTTCTTTTATTGATTGTTAGTAGTCTTTCTTGCAATTTTAATCGCTTGTCCGTGGTGTTTGTTTTCATCGTTCATGAACATCGCTTGCAGGAGTACTTAGAAATGTCGCCCGTATCAAACGCTTTATAAGATTACACATCGTTATAACTGGAACCATTAAATAACAAAAAATAATGATAATAAATTCGTTATTATGTTGAAGCGTATCTCCATTAAAGTTCATTCAAACACTCGACCACAATGACAGCTCGCACTAAAAATGAGAACCGTCTGGCCGTATGGGTGATTTTGGAAATTTTTTGAACGGTTTCGCAAAAAGCCCACGATTGATCGTCCTGAACATTGAAAAATTGTGGAATGCCGTATTCTGTCCGAGGTCTGTATGATAAAAAGTACTGTTTCACCTCAGATGTGATGTATAAAAAGTATAAAAGGTTGGTTTACACACCCTCAGATTTGTTGGCAAGAATTTGTAAAGTAAACCTGTCGAACGCCAAAAAATGCGGCCTGATTTGTTTTCCAAGAATTTGTTTTCGAGGCCTAATCTACTGTGATCAAGAGCCCATTATGGCTCTTGAATGTGATAGAAGATGTTTGCTATTTTTTGGGTGTACATATATTTAGTGCAACTCGATGTAAGATGTTTCACTCTAAAATAACTTATCCTTTCCCTCAAAAGTCACATGAATGTGCCCTTAAGTTAACTGATTTGTGGATTACAAGTTTATTAGTTGATTTAAAATATAAATTTATTAATGGGAGCTTCGCTTTTACCCCTGGCTAAATCTATATATTAACAACATTGATGTGCAATCAGCTTTCTCCTGGGCTCCCAAAATAGCAACAGTAACATTGGTATGCCTGTGGTGCGCAAGGACGGTCGGTCGGTCGCTCGGTCGCTCGGTCACGTGATTACCAAATTTTCTGGGATGGGTAGATTACCTTAGCTATGGGGCTCCACCCACGCGCCCGCGCGAAGCGCGCGTGGAGCTCCGCTATTAACCACTCGCGTGACCATTTATGCTTCAACTTCCGGTTTGTTCCTCAAGGGCTTCAGCACATAAGCAAATGAAATTATCGTTACTGAAAGGTTTTGCCAGTTTTGTTTCTAGCATGCAGACACGTATTCCAATTGGTCCTGTACATGAAACCATTCAAACTTTATGTTGTAAGTCAAGTTGTGTTAAGGTAGCAAACGCTAACCTAAAGGAAACTAATAGTAAACTGCCGTCAGTACGGTATATGAAAATTTGATATCATTTTAAACACGGCTGGTGACTTATTTGCGTGGCAACATCGACAAAATGATTCATCGATTCATCGTGACAAGTGTAAACCCTTGGCAACGTTTCGAGTCATTAAAAAGGTAGACCATCTCCTTTCCTTTTATATATTAACCTTCATTGATTGATCCACGCCATTATACACCTATGTGGCTGGGGTAAAAAAGTGACCGTTAGTATTGTTTCGTGTGAATTTATTGTCCAAAGAAAAGTGTTTTATTACTCCATACTTTCAGATATGGCAATTATCGAAAAATTATTCTCTCTCAGTAATATCTTTGAACATTTGAACTTAACCATTTCATTTTTTTATGCAGGTGTTCCAAGGAAACACAGATAGTAATACGACTGTGAAGCATTCCCTTCTTACTGCCGTGAAAGCCCGATTTGTTCGGTTTTATTACCTCACTTATAATAGTTGGCCTTCCCTTAGAGTAGAAATATATGTTTAAAGCCATACTAAAGTAGCTATGTGACTAGGATATTGCTGTATTAGCTCAATTTTTTGCCAAGTACTTCAGTAGTACGTTAGATATCAAACAAAGTTCATCAGGAAGCGCTAACCATAGTTCTCGGCAGTAGTATTTAAGGGCGCAGCATTGAAAATTGAAAAAGTTGGCCCAATTTTTTTCCCTGTAGCAACCGTTGACAGGAAACATTTTTAATATCTGAATATTTTCCCAAATAACAAAACTGGAGGTCTGGTTTCTTTTTTGTATAACATCATGGGTGACGAATTATTCCTTAATTTTGGCGCGAAATTTTCGCGTATACTAGTACATGAGAAATTTCTGCAATTTGATTGGCTTAGGGCAGGGTATTTCAGCTTAATTTGAAATACCTACACGTGAAAATTACAAACCTTTTGTGGGTAGTAGTATAAACAAATAATAGCATGATTTGTACGTGATATTTGGCATAAATACCACTCGTGATATTTCAAAATTGTCTCAAATTTCACTCGCCTAACGGCTCACGAAATTACTTTTAACAGTTTTGAAACATCACTCGTGGTATTTATGCCAAATATCACTACAAATCATGCTATTACCTATACTAATTTGTAACTTCAGATGTGAAAATACAAATTTGCCATGGCAACCTTCCGTACGTCTCAGTGCCAAGATGGTGGCTAAGTTTTAAAATGTTTGAAATTAAAATGCTAGGGCATTGAAAGACGCTTTAGAAAACCTAAACTCACGAGAGAGCACACCAAGAACGACTTGTCGAAGACTTCTGAAAGTTTTGAAAATTTAAGCTGTGAAGTTTTCAGTGCGTGGAGTTCTCGAGCGATAATCAATTTGAATTAAACATGTCAATAACCTACGATTGTGAGAGTTATTCGTCACCCATGATAATCATCACATCTGTATTATATGAAGATGACAATTTCTTATGAGAAGTCTTTTCTTAGCAATGAAATGGCGTCATTTGCCTATTTTACTTGCAGCCGTATTTCTCATAGCACTGTTGCAGAAGGTTTTTTTCTAAAATAGTTCACGGGAGCTTGTTAAGTTCCCTCAATCGCTGAATCAATTTTCGTGAAGTAAGAGCAAAATCTATGAAAGCGTGATCTTGTATAATTTTGGGATGAAGTTTTTATGCTTTAAACCCGGTGCAAAATTAGACCATCTTAATGTTAATAATAGAAACCGAAGTGCCTTTAAAACGCAATTTCACTTCATAGTAGTTTCATTCCGTTTAAACACATTTGTGAGAAGATCATGGGGATGGTTTTAGCCGATTGCTAGTGGAGCCGATAGCATGCATTGAGGTGTTATTGTTGGCTTTCTTGTAAATACTTTGGTGTACTTTAACAAATAAGCGAATAGTTTAGAAACCGCTCTGTACATGTTTTTAAAAATTTGATATTCTTGAGATCAATTGTAGTTTTATATGATCTTTATGTTTCGAGACCCTTGCATCAACGCAATAAAATAATTCACATGTCAGCTACCTCCCCCCAAGGGTAGGATCCCGGGCCCACCAAGGAATAGTAAAATGGACAGAACAAAGTTGACAATTTTCTCCATGGTGTGGGAAAACTAAGGAAGAAAAATTTATCTGGGTCAAGAGCAGGTCAAGAGCTTCTCACTGAAAAATCCCCTGATATCCAGCTAATGTAACTAAAACTAATGATGCGTAGCTGGCTGAAAAATCCGCGCACGAATGTTAACAAAGACTAGAAAAGTTGGCCGTGGAATGAACATCATCATTTTGGCTTTATAAAAGCCGTCAGGGAGATGAATGGGGAAAATCCGGATCTTATGTCTTATAGGGGGGGTCGACCGACGTATCGGTCGACATATCGATCGATATGAGTATGTAAGTCAAACTGATGAGTACGAAAGTCAAACCAAGGACGGTTCCCTACAAAGCGAATAAACCGAGTAGGGGACCAGTCATAAATTAAGTTGGACGGGGAGGAGGGAGGGGATGGAGGAGAATTGGGAGGCCTTCAATTTTTTTTGGATGGAATATAAGGGGCTTTAAAATGCCAAAAGATGACCTTGGGGGGTCTTCAAGTTTCTTTTAAGTAGCATCCCTGCTGAGCAGCATGATGTTTGAGTATTAAAGGACCTGATTTTGATTCAATTTTTCAAAAAGTCCTATATTGTGTAATACTAAAACAATTTCATCAGCATTTTTACAAAAAGATTTAATGCTCGAATAGTAGGTGCATCAACACAACATCTATTATTGTGTAACACTGAAACAATTTCATCGGCATTTTAACAAATGATTACATGCATAAAGTCATGTTATGTAATCTCACTATCGGAATCATAATTTGTAGATGAGGTTGATGTAGAGTCACTGTCTGTGTCTCTTTCAAGTTTTTTGCTTTTAGAGCATGTACTGCTCATTTAAAAAGCAGTAAGCTTTGGCCGATTATCTTCTTTCTTCCTTGAAGCGGTCCTGTCAGCCTCTAACCTTTCGATGGCTTGTCTTACCTCAATTATAACACAATCACTGATATATCCTTGCTCTATAAGCTGTTTGAGAGGCTCTGGGTGAAATCTCTTTCTCAGTTTAGTGTGAAGTGCTTCTCTGTTGAGGTTATTACTATCAATCACAGGAATACTGGCTTTTTGAGTGATATCTATTTCTGCACTCCCAGTCAAAAGTTTACACACCTCTTTAGCCTGCCTTGACAACACTTTCCGCTTGTTGGTCTTGTTCTTTCTTTTTTGTTCTTTCTTTCTTCTTACCATTTGGGTATTATGTAAGAAAGGGGGGCCCTTAAATCTTTTAACATGATTGAAGGTGGGGGTACCTAAAAACATGGGTGCTATTGATTAGGGGTTTGGAAATAATTTGGGATAAAAAACGATTTCTCCTCCACCGGTTTCACTAAACCGAGGTCGGTTGTCCAGAACCATCTATTGATCCAACGTTTGTGCGATGTGTTAGGAGAAATCACTAGATTTCAAGAAGGACGAGGAGGATAACTGACATGAGTAAAGCAGAAGAGTCAGGTGCTAGAAATATAGCAAACTTTTTGTAGTCGTAGTCACCGTTCTGTCCAACGCTCGATTTTGATACCTCATGAGCTATTAAAATATTTATCATCTTCACGTCTCTATCTCAAGAAATTAGGACAATGTGGCCCCCAAAAGCGTTTTTTTCCCTCGCGTGAATATTCCCCTATTTCTGAGCTAAGGAAAGCGGGAATCCCTGTCGCGTCCTCGTGGTTGCCGTCTGCGATTTTACAAAATTTTGAATTCCCCAACCCCTCTCCTTTGAACTTAAAACGATGTCGTGAATTTTCCCCTCCCTAGGGGCAGAGAATCCGATCCATCCATTTGTATTCCACGACATATTCCCCTGGTTAGCCGGGGTTCCTACCCCTGGGGGAAGCCGATGACTTGCGCAAAAGGTCAACTCCAATGCGGACGGTAATTTTTTTGCGGAAATTTCGTGTAAGAGAGAACCTCTGATTATTCAGAGGTGTTGTCTTCAATTCATTCGTTTTCAGGTGAACAGCAGCAACTAACAATGCATTCGAAATACGCACAAAAGTGTTAGCTTTTGCTGTCTTCTAAAATACGAAATTTTCCCTTACGAAGGCAGCATTGCCGAAAGGTTGGGTTTAATATTAACAGCGTTTTGTCTTTAATTCTTCGTAAGGTATCTCGGTTGGAAAGAATACGAGTATTAAAGCAAAATGTGGAGGCAGCGTGGCCGAGCGGTTAGAGCGCTGGACTTGTAATCGCGAAGCCCCGAGTTCAAGTCCCGCCCCAGCTGCTAGCTGGACTTGATCACTGTAGTCCCGGGTTCAAATCCTCGGCCACGCTTGTAAATAGCCAACTGGTTCGCCTCCTACCAGTTGGGATCTGTAAGCATGTTATGTTCCATTTGATGAATTATTGTTTCAGTATCCCTGAAAAGCCCCATAAGGGGAGTGGATAATGACTATTTAATGTTATTTATTACTAAAAATACGAGGCTGTTTTTAATACAAGTAGTAAACCGTTTCCACTGTCAGAATAACCACTTACTACCTTTGCGAAACTAAGTTATGGAAGCGAGATTTTACAAAGGCAGAGAGTCGTGAGACAGAGAACTAGAAATACTAGGAATAAAGATAAACTTCATGTACCATCTTTTCGATCAGCAACAGGTCAGCGATCTTTCTCATATAGGGCTGTTCAGCTCTGGAATGACCTTCCAGAAAGTTTAGTAAACATAGAGTCATTTAATGTTTTTAAGAATGCGATTAAAGGACGTGCCCTTGACGAGTTTTTAAGCCATTGACACTCAATAGGTGTAATTATGCATATTTTATATTTTTTAAATAGTATGGTAATGTTTTTATGGTAATGTTTTTTCACTTTCAAATGTTTATATTGAATTTCTATTGTTCATATTAGATTTTATTGTAATTGGTATGTGAAAACCCATTTTAATTGGATGTACCAATAAAGTTGATTTGATTTGATTTGAGAACTAAGAGGGGGATACGCAGCGCCGAAGGGGAGGTAGGAGGGTCAGAAAATCTACCTTTGTCAAGAACGGCGTTCATCATCATCATCATGTCTCATCGCGCCAGTTAAGGCGCATAAGGCCTCAACAACGGCGTTACTTGGCAAAGGAGGCCGAAAACACGGGACAGCTGGCTTAAATAGGCAAAAGGATTCCCCCGTTCCCCCACCCGCCCCCACCAAGACTTCAAGAAGATTCTGTGTAATGCCCTCGGGTGTTGTGAGGATACCAGCATTGCGTTCAGGCAGAATCCTTGGCTATTCTAACAGTGAAAATACATGTACCATAAGGCTTTAGCATCTTGACGCAAACGTGTGCAAAACATGCATATGTAAAGTTTAAGCACAGTTACCAGGCATATTGGAGGGTCCCTATCCTTTTTTCCTGCTAGATGTGAGATTGGGACTTTTACTAATTGACCATCCCTTAAGGACAGTCCGCGTACGTGAAAGCGGTTTTGGAATCA